TTTGCATGGTATTTCATAGACTCTTTTTTTTTTCTAGCTGGATTTTGTCTTTGGGGTTTCTTAAGATGTTGGCTATTTTTTTGGTCAGTGCCAAAGGCTGTCTTGATATTTGTGGAGAATTTTGCTGATTTTATCTATGGTGCCTTTGATGTAAGGGAGGAGGGCGATGCCGTTGTCCTGTTCTGTGTCTCGGTTCTTGGGAGGTATCTCCTTTTGGATTAGGTTGGTAATTGTGTTTATTTGGAATCCGTTGGAAATTAATACATTTGTGAGAGTGTGTCATTCAGTTTTCAGGTGGTCTTTATCCACCAAACCAAACGCTTAGCCGACAAAGACCATTTTCTCCCTATAAATAAATACTGGGCAACGTCAGGTTATCAGCTGGTTACTTCTAAAGCGGAATCCTACACTTAAGTCTGTGAAAAATTCTCCTTCCCCTTGAACAATTCAGAGAAATCTTCTACCAATTCCTCTATGAAGGACTATAGTAAAGAATATTGAATATCTGTATCACTTAAGTGGGCTCAGAAGCTAAACAGTTTCTGAGCTTAATTTTAATCTATTTTTTTCACTGTGCTCTTTGATTTTAATTATAGAGAATGTGGTAGCATGCATGGATTCTTAGTCTAAAGAAACCTATAGATAGATATGAGTGATCAATAGCATTCACAAAACATACTGAATTGCAAACTGACCAACCACATTTTAGCCTAGCAATTGTAGATTAGCTAATGGTTCAACATGTCATGCAAGGCCAGAACTGTGGGTAAATTAAGTGAACCATGGCCACATTAGACCTGAATAATCATGGCATGAAATGCTGTAACTTGGATTCACAAAGAAACTGACCACAATTTTAAACAGACAAAAGGTAGGGAAAAAAACCCTTTACTTATGAAATTTACTATCCAGAAGATATACAATATACAAAAACCCATCATGGTGATTAACTATTAAGCATAATAGTTAAAAAGAAATCCAGGTTCAAAAAATATACCAGTTGTGAGTAGATGTTACCCAAGAGACCAATATTTAATCCAACAAATTTTTATCATGTCACACTCAAATATTTTCAGATTAAATAATACTGTATATATAGCAATGAGGAAATCTATCTTGAGTGCACCTCATCTCTAAACTTGTTGCTTTCTAAACAACAAGAAAACTACAAGAATTACATTTCAGTATCCTTTTGCTGTGCCTCTTTATCCCATAAATCTCAGTAACGGAGGAGGGAGAGAATCTACATTAGGTAATTAGGACCATATATGGTACATCCTTGTGAATTATAAGTAAAAGTGACTACGGACTAATGGGACAGAAAACAGTAGCTAATAGTGAATGAACTAAGAGCAAAACCAAGCAGAAAGACATTCTTTTCTTGTATGTGTCTGCAGCATGCCAGCAACCAATTCGCGCAAATGAGTGAAGCCCCATCCTTGGGATGCAGGCAGCACGCAAACTATGCCCTCTCCAGTCTGTGGAAAAAACCTTTCTCCATGGAACCAGTCTCTGATACCCAAAGGTTTGTGGGGCACTGCTCCATAGATGCAATTATATGTATGGACTCTGGCTGCTGATTTTTTTAGTAGTTTTTAATACTAACAACCATAGTATGCTTCTGGACCGCCTGAGATTTGGGGCGGAAATCATGAGTATGCAGGGTTCTTCTCTTTTCCTCTCAGATTAGGTTCAGTAAATGTTGGCAGTGGGGGAGTGATTGACCTTGGAACTCTTGAGGTGTGGAATGCTGTAGGACTTAGCAGTCTTGCTCCTTCCATTTAATATCTGTATGTAGACACCAGGTAAAGCCATCCATCAGTTTGGAGCAGGTACCCTCAGTATGCTAATGATACTTGGCTATACATCTTTACCCCAAGCCAACCAGGTGATGCTATCAAGGTCTTGTCCCAGTGTCTAGAGGCTGTTGGGACCTGGATGAAAGTGAAGAAGATCAAGTTCAACCCCAACAAGACCAAGTAGGTGTGAATAATAGGGGCTGCACTTTTCTTTTGGGACTGGTGTATAATTTGGGGGTCTATTTTAGACTGACAGATCTTGCTTCAGGAGTGAATGGCAGCTGTGGCAAAAGGGGAGGTGAGGCTGCAATCTATTGATGGGCTGTTAAATATGAATTATTTTATAATTAATTTTATAATTAATATTTTTTTACTTAGTTATTTCTCATTTACTGAAATTTAGCACACATATATTATTTGTGTTATCATTTCTGATCTTTGATTACNGCAAAGTTCTCTCTGTGGACATGCGAGCCGTCACCCCACTTCAGCTCCACCCTGCCTGCGCATGCGCCTCCCACCGGCCAGCTGATTTTCTGGTCTCTGCCGTGCATGCACAAGGGTGAAGTGCATGCAGGAGAGGTGTGCATGTGTGGGGGTCCATATGCACATGCACGGGGGCAGGGGAGCCTCTCCCCCACCATACACACAGCCTGTTTTTGTTCCCAGGAGGCTTCAGAGATGCCTGCTAGACCCAAAACGGGATGTGGGGGGTGTCATACGTGCATGCGTGGCGGGTGGGGGAGTACACAGTGTCACACATGCATGCTCAGGGGGGATGGGAAGTTGTTGCATTATGGGTGTGGGCATGCGCATGGGCACGCTTTTGGCATGCAACGACAAAAAGGTTAGCCATCACCGGTATAGGTGGTCCTGGACTTATAACCATGGTTCGAACCAGAATTTCCACCGGTTAAGCAAGATGGTTGTTAAGTGAGCCATACCCAATTTTACAACCTTTCCTTTTTGCCTTGGTTGTTAAGCAAAAAACCTGCAGTTGTCACACGGATGGCATGGGGGTTGAGCAAATCTGGATTCTCCCATTGACTTTGCTTCTGGTAAGCCACTGGGAAGGTCTCAAGTAGAGATCACATGACCCTGGGACACTGCAACCATCGCAAATCCATACCATCTTCTAGGGATGGGAAGAGGGGGGAAATAGCCAAGATGATTCCATGATCACCTGATCAAAGCCCCACAGATCTGTGATGCCCCCTCCCCAATGTGGCATGCAATGAATCTCTGTCTTCAAAATGCTTCAGAAACAACTGATGCAGGGGAGGGCTGTTTGGGAGAACCCGTAACATTATGGCTGGTTTGGAGAACCTCCAAATCCCACCTCTGACTGGCCACCCCTGCCCTGCCCCTCCCCTCCCAGGAGTCGCCACGCGGGCCATTTTAGATGCAAGGTAAATGTAGGGCCTGTGCAGAGGCTTGGGGAGGAGGAAAATGGGTCTACTGGAAGTTCCAGAAGACCTGAAATGGGCCTGTTTCTGGCCTCCAGAGGGCCTCCAGAGCCTGGGTGAGGCAGTTTTGTCCTCCCATAGTCTTGAGGAAAGCCTCCGGAGCCTGAGAAAGTGAAAACGCCCCATCCCACCATGGTGCAGGAGGCCAACTACGCAGAGAATCCATTGCTGATTTTTTTGAAGTCCACCCCTGAACTGATGATGATTGCAATTCTCCCTTCCCTTAATCCACTTGGCTGATCTTCCACAATATGTTCTTGTTTCATCCCAAACTTCCAACATAAATGTCTTAGGTAAAAGTGGCTGTCCAGAAGGCTTGTGGCCTGTGGTCGCCAGCTCGTTCCGTTTTTGAAGACGGGGATGAATCTTGCAACTTATTAAATGCATTTATTTTTT